ACGACCGCACAGAGTAGCATTATAACAGAACTTTCAAATGTATCTAGTATGATAAAACCGCGCTGCTTTACCCCACACACGCACGACCGGAAGGAGCAGAAGCGGTCGGCTGTGGCATAATAAAAGCTCCGCTGCTTTCGAGCCGTGTGCAACTCCCATGATTCCACACTCAGTCACCGCATCATCAAACTACGCCTTTGCTTCTTTGTTTGTTTTGAATACGCGCCCTCCAGCGACGAAAAATTACATATTGTGCCTTTAATTGATTATCTGATTCCTAAAATATTTTTTTATTAAATTTAATTTAAAAATGAATTTATTTAAATAAATGTATTTTATGAATTTAAATGTATAATTTATTTTTAAAATATTTTTTATTTATAGATATTTTAATATTTTAATAAAAGATCTTTCTTATGCTCAGCAAGACTGCATTTATTTGATTAAAATACAGTAAAAACAGCAATATTGTTAAATATTATTATAATAAAAAAACATTTTCTATTTTAATATATGAAGAGTTTATTTGCAAAAACAGATAGCTCTGTTTTTTAAAATGTTCAAAAATCATGGTTTTTATTATGTTATCATGTTTTTATTGTGTTTTATTGTGTTAGTTAGCTGTATTTTTTTAGTTATTTTTTAACCTAATCAAAATAACCCAACTTCAGTTTGATTGAGATTAATTGGAATGAAAAACGATTTTTGAAAATTGTTGAAAACGGAGTTATCTGTTTTTGCTAACGAACTCTTCATATTTAGGGCCTCTTCTTCTTCTTCTTCTTCTTCTTCTTCAAAGTGAATCGCATTTTAAGGGGCCTAAACATGCTCCAAAGCTCATGAAATTTGCACACGCGTCAGAACTGGCAAAAATGTACATCTGATATGTTTCAGAAGTGGGTGTGGCAAAATGGCTCGATAGCACCACCTGTACACATTCAACGGAGTGCGCCTCAAGCTACGTTTTACGTACATGTACGAAAATTTGGTACACACATGTAACACACCATTACCTACAAAAAAGTCTCTTGGTACAAAATCCAAAACCCAACAGGAAGTACGTTATTTTGAATTTCCTGTACAATTTTTGTGCAGTTTTTTCCATTTCCAGGCCTCGTACTTTGACAAACTCCTCCTGCAGTTTTAATTGGATCATCTTCAAATTTGGTGAGGGTTATCTTAAGGCCTTTGTGACGTTAAATAGGGTATATGTCGAACATCACCTGACCAAACCCGGAAAAAGGGTCTCATTGCTTCCGCTTGTCGGAGAACGTGTTAACAGCCGTATTAAATAATAGCGATATCTATAGACTTTTAAGATAATCAGTTAAACTAGATAGCTATTTTTATTGTTGACGTTTTATTAAATTTTTATATCTAAATGTGAAAAGAATAAAAATTAAAAAAAACTTTTAGATATCGGTCCGCATATGTGATGGACATTGGTTATGATAATCTTTGGTTATACACCTAGGATGACTTGAGGGTGAGTAAAATGCAGCCTAATTTTCATTTTGGGGCGAACTAACCCTTTAAATGCATATTCCCCACCGTTAGCTGTTTTCCTAAAGCCACCGGGTGGCGGTGAGCCCGGGGGCGAGGGCCCTTTCATTGCTGCTTGCAGCTTTAATTTAAAATGTAATTTGTTTATGTGATGGCAAATCTGAATTTTCAGCATCATTACTCCAGTCTTCAGTGTCACATGATCCTTCAGAAATCACTCTAATATGCTGATTTGCTGCTCAATTGTTATCAGTTATTACTGTTACTTAATTATGATTAATAGTTCTTATTATTAAAATTAAAACCAGTTTATGCAGCTTAATATTTTTGTGGAAACCATGATTTTTTTTCGATGAATAGAAAGTTAAAAAGAACAGCATTTATTTGAAATAAAAAACATTATGAATGACTTTACTGTCACTTTTGATCAGTTTAATGTGAATGCAATTATCAATTTGTTTCATTTTAAAAAAAATTATTTTCCCCAAAATTTTGAATGATTTCCACAAAAATATTAAGTAGCAAAAACTGTTTTAAACATTAATAATAATATGAATCTTTAATTAAAAATTAAACGCCAATAATAACTTATAATAAGCAACAAATCAGCATATTAGAATGATTTCTGAAGATCATGTGACACTGAAGACTGGAGTAATGATGCTGAAAATTCAGCTTTGATCTCAGACATAAATGACATAGAAAACAGTTACTTTAAATTATAATAATATTTAAAAATATTTCTGTATTTACGGCATTTTTGATCAAATAAATGCAGCCTTGTTGAGCAAAACCATTAAAAAATATTAATTATTGCACACTTGTGACCTGTAGTGTATAAGTAATAAAAAATGTGTATATATTAAAATTATATATAAATAATAGTAAAAAAAATGTTGTAGCCGAAGTCATCTGTGAACGGGCTTCTAGCAGAGATGATCGCTAAGTTTGAGGAGGAACCTCCACTGGGCACCAAATCTTCAGCACAGGGCGACAATCCCAACAATCTGCTGGCCTATGTGTCAAATCTCACCCTTAACGAAGGTTTGTCTGGAATGGACATGAAAATATGCAGCTGTGCATGTAGAGTACTGCTTTTATGAAGTCAATCATAATTGATCTGCAATTGCTCTTATAGGTGGAAATCGGCTTGATCAGGAGGTTAAGGTCTCAGTGATTGGCGGAGGAGATTTGGGAATCGCTGTTGTGTTGAGTATTATGGCAAAAGTAACTACATATATGTCTTTTGTTTGCCAGAAATAGCTTATGGCTACGTAACTGCATTTTTCTGACCAAGCTGTGTTGTCAAACTTTCCATCATAGAGCTGTGTTGACAAACTGGTTTTGATTGACATCCCTGAGAGCTCAACCAAAGGTGGCACAACAGATTTGGAGATTTTCAGTTTACCAAAGGTCGAGGTCTCAAAAGGTGCTTTTCATCACCACATTTAACACATTAAAATTGAGGATATTTTCCAAGTGTGGTAATATGTAAAGAACAGTTCAAGCAGTTTTAAGTTTATAAAATCTTAATTAGTAAAATCAAGGGTGAATCTCACAATTTATGTCCACGTCTGGGTCATGTTTCACCCCAAAATCAAAGGAAACAATACAGCGTTATATTTTGCAAAAGAAGATTTTTTTATTTATTTCTTTTTTGCATTATGATAATCATTTTCATGACACTTAGACCCATTTTCAAATTCCAATTAGTGTTATTTTAGCATTATTTATATACTGTTATATTTTTTGTACTTTATACTGTTAATTAACTTTTATTTTTATATTTTTACTTTTTATTTTAATTTTAGTTTTAGTAATTGTTGTTTTATGCTTTGTCATTTTTCTTATTTTTTTTATATTTAGATTAAAATTTTACAAAATTATATTTAGATTGTTTTATTTTTATTTCAGTTTTAGTTTTTAATCTAATATAATTTTAATATTTACGTCTTTAAAAAAAGTTTGTAATTTTTTTTTGTTTTTTTTGTTTAGTTAGTGGTGCACTGTTTCTCATTAAAGTATTACAGGAAAAAAAAAAAGATATACATTATAAGTTTATTATTTTATATCAATTTTTCTCATACATGTGGAATTAACCCTTAAAGATACTGTATAGTTTATTTTTAAACATCAGATTTATTTATATCAAAATTACATTATAACCAAATTACATTCTAGGAACAATGTATTAATAATTTTAGCACTCCATTATGTTAAGATTAGTATTCATGTAATGTAATTGATATATTATTATAGTTTTTGTTTAGATTTTGAATTTCATTTTATTTTTAAATTAAATTAAAAATTGTAAATTTCTGGGGATTTGCATTGAAAACAAAACAAAACAAAACAAAAATAGTAAGAAATAACTTGTGTTCAGTGTGATCAGAAGGTACAGTAAAAGTACGGTTGGAAGTTGTATTTTCAAATTTTTAAGTGTTACAACAAGTCCTTACATTTTCTTAATTGGTCTTAAGAAGGTCTTAAAGTCTTAAGTTTACCTTCATAAAACGTGCATAAACCCTAAAAGAGGATTTGTGGAACTGAAAACTGGACAGTTATTCTAGATAAACAGTTGTTAAATTGCTAACAATTTGCATCATGGTCATATTAACACCTCAAGTGTGCATTAATGTTCTGAGGTCAGAGTCTGGTTTTAAATAATAAATGTAATGGCTCTCTCTGGTTGTGTATCAGTGGCATTGTGGGGTAATATGGGGCCGGGAACTGACCAGCTACAAGCGTTAACTCCAGTGTCCAACTCCACCAAACCATTAATGGACAGGTATGGGTTTAAATGATCAGCATCCAGATATTTTTCATATAATTTCAAAGAATGAATTGTTAATTTGAGGTTTGTTACTGCATTATGAAGTGTGAACTGTTTGATATGTTCTCAGGGCGTTAGAGATGCTCAAAGGCAGAGGTCAGAGGTCATGGTCAGTCGGGTTGTCCATTGCTGACATTATTCACAGCATTGTAACGGACAAAAAGAAGATACACTCTGTCACAACACTGGCTGAGGTAAGTTACCTTATAGAATATGTATTCAGTAAGTATGTGTGTGTAAGTTGTGCATGTGTGTTTAGAAGAGTGGTTCTCAGCCAGAGGAATGCAGGATGAATTAAAATGATTTCATTTTAAAATAATCACTTAGAATATTAAAAAACAAATAAATCAAGATGTAAACTGAAAATGTCGTTTTAATAAACAAACAACATTCAGCAACATGTAAATGTTGTTGTTTTTGTTGTTGCTTTATTAAAGAACATACAGTTCTTGAAATTTATGGAATCACAAAATGAATAAGTAAATTAATATATTCTGTTAATAATAATAATAATAATAATAAAAAAATTAGACGTGAAAATGTCCATTATTGCTGAAGAGAAAAATGAAAGTATTAAAACAACGATCTAGAAGTTAGTTTACTGTAATATAAATGTACTGTACTAAAAAGTTTTTTATTTATTTTTTATTATTATAAACATTTAAAATATATATATGTATGTGTGTGTATATATATATATATATATATATATATGGAATCTAAAATTACTATAAAATGAATTCCATATGTCTAAAGTTATGTTCCAAATTTGAAGTTGTTATAACAAATATTGAGGATCCTATAAAATTTTATTTAGGCATTATACCAAAAATAACCACTGGTTGACACCCAAACTACATTGACTTTTTTTTTTATTATAAATTTCTGTCAAAATATTACTTATCACAAAATAACCACCAAATATGGAACCTTGAGACTCAGACATTTCCAATGATATTTTTTATATTTTGTCAAGATTATAGAAAGTTTTGACTGTAAAATAGTATAGTAAATTTTGTAATATGACACTTGACACCACCCACTAGGGGGAGGAGCCTGCTATAAGAGTTATAGTATAATTTCTATTGTAACACAATGTCCGATTTTAAAACAGTTTTAACAGGATGAATTTTGAGTGTTTAAGCTTTCAAATGATGATTAATAAAATATTTGATAGGTAAAAAAAGGCAATTAAAAAAGAGCAGACAGTTAAGGAGTTAAAATGCAACTAACATTTGTAAAGATTTTAAAATTTTAGATTTCTAGATTGTCAAAGTTGTGTAAATAAAATTTTGTAAATGCAAACCTTTTATATCAACTATTAGTATAGGAGCCACTGACGCAGACTTGAACATATCCTCACTGAAAAACGATAAAGAGAGTGTGAAAATAAAACACTTTTTGTATTTTAATCCATGTCTGTTAATTTTGAGATCTTCTAAATGCAATCCTCTGTTGTCTCCAACATGTGTGCATTTCCTTCTTTCAGGGTTGGGGTGGAATCGGTTCTAAAGTGTTCCTCAGCTTGCCTTGCGTCCTCGGGGAAAACGGCTCTACCCGGTTACCAGGAGTGGCTCTGGGTTCAGAGGATGAAATGAAGCTGAGGGAGAGTGTGGCGTGTCAGGTCAACCTCTTCATGCAGCTGAGATTGTAACTCAGGTACTGGATGAAACTGCATCACCTCTACAAATGGTGCATTTTCTCTGCAAGCTCTGTTACAATCGCAGCTTTAAGACACACTGTCAATTTCTCATGGAAGGTAAAGATGTACTTTAGTCCTTCCTGCAATACTTGCTTATCTTATATTCTCACAGCAGCCACTGTGAAGTGACAGTCCTCCATCTGACAGCAATAGCACTGAAGACTTTATCTTGGCTTCCTGTGAAGCATTATGCATATTATTATTGCACTTGTTTACAATACAAACTATGTTTATGCAATCCTGTTTGTCATATGACTTATAAGTAGTTACCTGTGAGAATAATGCAACAATGGTGCCTTTATGAAGGTTAAATTATGGTAGAAAGGTAAAATGAATGGCTTCAAGTGCTTGTTAAATGCTGTTACCAATCAGGCAGATCTGTGATGTAGGTTTGCGTTTAAATCAATTAAAGGGCATGGGTTCCTGATGTGCTTTCATGCAAGTGAATGTATATTAATTTATAAAGAAATATTTGACCCTGGTATATTTTATCACGTTGTGCTTGTGCCATATACCTCTGAATGTGAAATTAGAATTGACAACAGCAATAATGTAAATATTAAAATAAACACTCTACTTTATGTATTGTCTCATTGTTGCAACAAGGAAAACACAAGTTTTTTTTTAGTTAATAAAATAAGTCAAATGAGCATGAGTTAAAAAAGTTCAAACATTAACCTGGGTTTAAAAGTTTCAACAAACTGAACATCAAGACCATTTAACCTGAGAAGCATAATATAAATGCAATTAAATATAAGCTCTGAATACAAACAACAAAGTGCAAATCAAACCTGTTCTATTTACAATTACACAACAAAGCCATAAAATGACCTTGAATATACAGTTTCTTCATTTTAACATTCAGTGTGGTGGCTGTATTTCCCAGTATATAATTTTGACCAAGCTGTGCTTCATCATCTTCCACAAGATGGCGAAAGAGGGCAGTACACAGCACTAAGGTTTACAGTTGAAGGAATTTCCTTTTTGAGCAAATCAGAGACCACTGAAAAATGCCCTTTCAATGTAATCAGGGAACTTATGTCAGTGTGGTAAGATCCTTGTTTACATTTCCACAACATCTTCATATTTAATGTGCATCGTTAGATGCATTTTCATAATATAACCAAAGTTTAAAAAGAAAACAATTGCACCAAGATATAAAACCAACCAATAAAACATAAGACAAAGAAATAACAACTGATCTAATTGCGGGGGACATAATATCTCCCAGAAAACAACAGAGACACAAACAAAATAATGGTGAATGTCACGTATTCTGTGGTGACCAGTGGAAATATCAGTAACTCAAATACTAAACAAATTAAAGATATAATTTCAAACCACATGATGACTCCCTGGAAGACTGGTTGCTCAACTAGCTGAATGGTTATTCTGATAACTGCTACAACTATAATGCTTCACCTAAGAAAAGGAGATTCCAGTACATCAAATTTGCATGACACACTGATAAAACACATTCTAGCATTCTGTTTAGATTGGTCATATATAACACACATTGCAACACCTAAAAGATTGAAATACGTTCACTTGATATCATCGAAGCACAAAAGTCCAAACGATGGAAACATGCCTTCAGTTCACACTACTTAAGTGTGACTCCAGCAACTAATGACTTGAAACATGCATTCGACAGAAGTCTGAATCAGAGTGTACAGGAGAGCGCATTGTGGGTCGTGATTTTTTGGGCGGTAGTCTTGGGAGCTGTGACTGACTCCCATCTTGATCAGTCTGGTTTGGAACCACCTGATTGGGTCGTGATTTTTTGGGCGGTAGTCTTGGGAGCTGTGACTGACTCCCATCTTGATCAGTCTGGTTTGGAACCACCTGATTGGGTCGTGATTTTTTGGGCGGTAGTCTTGGGAGCTGTGACTGACTCCTATCTTGATCAGTCTGGTTTGGAACCACCTGATTGGGTCGTGATTTTTTGGGCGGTAGTCTTGGGAGCTGTGACTGACTCCTATCTTGATCAGTCTGGTTTGGAACCACCTGATTGCACGGGACTGAAGATACAAGGTTGGGTTTATCTGCAAAGTCAATAGGTGGTTGGGTAAAAATGCAGTCTGGAGTCACCCAACTGTTTACCGCCTCAATGCATGAAGGAGGTGGAGGGAGTGGCGAAGATTCAGGCGTGTAGAAGAACATAGATGGGGGCGGTAGAGGAAGAGACATGGCATCTTCTGGAGGAAGGGGAAGGGTGGTGTTCATGAGACTCAAGTTTGAGTTTTGCGGCAATGTGGCCACCATCTCCAGCAGCCTCTCCACAGACAGATCCTCCTCTTCTGAGAGGTTGTCGTAATGCGAGGTGTTGGAAGGTCTCCGGTCACCTGATGATGGTGGCACATACAGGTTGACCGGAAACTTGCTTAGCTGCCGATAGGATCTATACGAGGAAGGTGACGAAGATGGATCTTCTAAGATGAGATCCAAAGGTTGGGTAATTGGTGGTGGAGGTGGAGGAAGGCAAAATGGGACATCCTCTTCTAGAGGCGAAAGCTCGACCCCTTCTTTGGTACAGGGAAGAGGTGGAGGAGGTAGTTCTGGGAGATTGAAAGAGTGGATACTGGATGAATCTGTTATGGGTGGCTGGTACGGAGGAGGCCAATCTTCAGACACCGCTGATAGGGTTCTACTAACACATTCATTCTTCAACGAAAGTGTCTCTGCTGAAAACAGTGCAGATTCTGGGTGTAGTAGATGATCTGGTCTTTGTACAGGTGCACTGTCTTCATTCTTCACCGTGGTTCCTGGTTCTTCAGGTGTAGCTTGTGACAGTAAAGAGTTGGAAGTTGAGTGGGTGTGCTTTGAAAGAGGGGAAGATGAGGTAATGGTAGGGATGTGTTTTTCGTTGCTCTGCTTGTGGGTGGTGGTGTCTTCTGCCTGAAGCTTGTTTGAGGTTTGATTGTTGTGTGCTGATGGTGGTAAGGGTACACACTCAGTCTTGATTACTGGAAGCAGTACTATTGGACGCTCCTCGCCCAGGGGTATCTTTGGGAACTCATCTCCCTTGGCTACAAGTCAAACCCAGAAAAAAAAAAAAGAGTTGTTATAATAGTCTAGAATTGCATACAACCACAGTACACTCTTTAGAAGAAAGTTTTTTTTCAAGGTTCAGCAAATAACCCTCTTTTAATCAAAGACCATTTTTATTGTTGAGTTGGCCATGTGGGTCTTAATGTTACATTATAACAGGGGTCATCAACTCTGGACCTCAAGATCCACTTTCCTGCAGAGTTTAGCTCCAACCTGGATTAAACACACGTACCTGCAACTTTGTAGTAATCGAGAAGACCTTGATTAGCTTGTTCAGGTGTGTTTGATTAAGGTTGGAGCTAAACTGCAGTAAAGTGGATCTCGAGGTCCAGAGTTGAGGATCCCTGCATTATAGGTTAGTGAGAGCTTCCAGCTTCTTTGAATCACCTGTCCAAATGGTTTTCTAAACATCTATGGCATAATAAGTGCTTTGTGGAAGCTTCTCTAACTGGAACCTTTATTTTTGAGTCTACACCAGGGATTCTCAACTCTGGCCCTCAAGGTTCATATTCCTGCAGAGTTTAGCTCCAAGAGTTTGCTCCTTGATCAAACTCACCTGTCAGTAACTTTCTAGAAATTGTCCTGAAGACCTTGATTAGATTGTTCAGGTGTGTTTGATTAGGGTTGGAGCTAAACTCTGCAGGAAAGTGGACCACGGGTGCCAGAGTTGAGAACCCCTGGTCCACACTTTGCAGACTCCAAAGACATTCAGAATCTTGTGAACAAGGCTTCCTTAATTATTCTCTCTGGTATTTGGTCAGAATGTTCTCATTTACAAGAAAACACATTCTGTCTTTTACCTGGAGCAGGGAGGTCAAGCTTCATCGTGCGAAGTTCTGACATAGACGACTGTAGGTGCTCAATAACTGCATCATCGCTCATGCTGAAGGAAGAAGCAATACGCTCCTGCAGAAACTCCCTCAAGTCCTCCAGAGACATCTTCAGAAGATGCTCTGATGGAAAAAGAATGAGGCTTTAGACTTTATAAGCTTCTAATTAAACTAATCTACACTACCCAAACATGAAAATTAAAGAACTTCTGGCTGATAGAACATCTAGGCAGCTGATTTACCACTACAACCACAACTCGTTTTTGAGCGCTACTGCCCAGATTAAACATTGTTTTAACAGTTTACCAGAAACTCTCTTTTAAATTTTACATCATAGATAATTACTAACAAGTCAATTAATCCAGTACACTTAATCCAGTGAGTGTATCTTGAATAACCCTAAATTAAGTTTCTTGCTTAAGGGTGCAATGATGATAGTTTATAAATCACCGTATGTGGCATCTGCACCTACAAACTTTCGGGAACCCGATCTTTAACCACTATAAGGTTCTATGCTGTACATACTGGACATGGTGACAGCTCATGTGGGTCTTCAGAGATCCAAAGTGGGATTCTTACTTACTTTTGTGCAATTTGAGGAGCGTATAGGCCATGGCGGTTAGAACTTTTTCTCCTTCTAATATGTAGATGTCCCAAAGGCGCAGGGTGAGTGTAAAGGGTGTCTATATAGTAGCAACACAACAGACTCAAGTCATCAACCAGCTAAGCAGAGCTCCAATATGAATAAAACATTGACACAGGATTCAGCCCAACCATATGAAACTTTTAGCAGATGATGTTTCCAGTCTTTTTCACACAAAAACTTGCTGTATACGAATTACGTAATTCTCACTGAGTATTCAGCACAGAGTTGCAAAATTTGGATTTGTCGAGGCTAGGCACAGATAGGGTGGTAAACAAGACCTTCTGTCCAGGGCCTGGACTGGATCAAAGAGAGGTGGGTCCAGAAAGAGAGCACAATTTCACCATTTATCTACACCTAAAAGGTCCATATTTTAGAGTAGTAATAGGTGCCCTTACAGTATCACTATGAAACTTTTAGGGGTAAATAAGCTACAAAGATGTCTCTTTAGGCTACTACCCAGTGACAAGCTGCTGAACCCCTAAAGGTACATTTTTTTTCAAAAAAATTTTCTGAGTGTACTAGGATCCATCATATAGATTTGTTAAGGTTGCATTGTGTCACTTTTGTCAGGGACTGGAAAACCAGTTTGGACACACCCGCCTCATATTCATACAAGACAAAGTGAATATTTGTAACATGTTTTATATTTCATTGTGATTTACTGAAAGTATCAACTCCATAACTGAGACCTTTTACTAGTGATATAAAAACAGTGAAAATGAAAATGATGCCTCACCCTGTCAATAAAACACTGAAGGAACCATTTGGTTGTGTAGATACCAGTGGACATCTGTTCCTTATCCTGAGTTGAAGAAAACATTGGAAAAACTGAGAAAGTGTTTATATTTTGTTAAAGTCAAACAACCTGAGGTTAAAATAAGAAATCTCACCAAGTGTTTCCTGAGTTTGGGAAGGAGTTTGGACAGTATTTGGTCATGATGAACCTGAAAACGCTGGAGTTTGGGAAACCCCGGGATGAAGAATCCTTTAAGAATCCACAGAGGAAGACACAGAGATGTATCACCAATTACAGAGTGTACTACAAAAACAAAGAGATCTATTTATCTACACACAGAGTCAGAGAGACTTACTCACCATGCATGGCATGTTTCTGATTGGTCAGTAGCTGTGATAAGGCCCAGAATGCATCTTCCTCATTCATGTACATGAGCAGAATGGCAGCAATCTGACTCATGCCCTGACAGTAGCTCACTTCCTACACAAAACCACATAACCAGATAGACTGAGTACACATTGTGACAAACTTCACTCAACATTCAGACATAGATAGAGAATGGCCTAAGGATTAATAGTGCTGATTTCATCAATTACAAAACAATAACTTTAGTACTTTTCTTGTCAAGAAAAAGAATACAAGATGAAAGTGTAAAATTCAAAGTCCCCCGCTTCTCTCAATCTCTCACTCACTCAATCTCTCCTTCCCCCCTCCATCGCCCTCTTCTTGCCCAGTTGACCCACTTTCTACTAGACCACATCGGGAAGGAAAAGGAATATGGTACCATTTCCCGTCTCTTTGAGACCGACACGCTCCTCATTTTTTAAAAACAATGAAATTTATGTGCATGTGTCCCAGCGGTTTTGTCAAACCATTATAAAAAAAAACATTTCTTCCATTTGTCTTGTCCAGCTTCTATATCATCTATGTTTAGGGTTAATTCCCAGTAGGTTCCCAATAAATAAATTAAATAGCATATCATGCAATTAGCACCGGACAGACGGCCTCTGTTATTGTCTAAAAGACCCTGGTCACCCATAACCAGTGGGCAACATCAGAGTCACTGTCTCTGGATTAGTCTGTCTCCAAACCAGATTCTGCACACACTAGGCGTACTGTTTCTAAACCTAGTGAGCTGCCTCGCCGTCTACTGCCGCTAACTTCTAAAGCAGCATATTAAGCCAATAATTGATGAGATCTCATAAGGGCAGCAACTCCACACACCATACAAATCTCCACAGTAAATTCGACTTGCAATTTTCAACGGTTTGATGTTAGCATGTTGCTAAGCTAACAATATGCAATAGTCTATTGCACAATACTCCAACAGGCAAAGATACAGCATAAACAAGTATTTGATAAAATACATTTTCAGATTACGATTCCATCCAGTTGAAGGATATCAAACTTGTTCTAAAACCAGTTCTAAAACATGCATTGTTTTTATTTGTTTCATAGCAATGAGGCGCATGTTTCTGTGTGAGTTTGCTGCGTTCAGAAATACTTGATGTTTGGTATTTTGTGAAAGATCTTCAGTCATTTAGTGTATAATGCCCAGATTTTCTCTGTAACCATTTACAAAGTCGCCAAGTGTATATGATGCCTAGTGTTTTACAACCAAGTTTTAAAAGATATGTAATCCATTCTAGCTTTAAGTTTATTCCATTATTAACTTTAAGCACATACATTTACATTTGCAATTTAACCCAAAAACCACACATGCACAGTCTATCATCCGGGTTTATCATACCTACTATTTTCAACATGCTACCATTTGGGACACAATTCTCCTAATCTTGGATTTTATAGAGTACGGATGGTATTCACATTGGCATGTAGCCATGTCTTTATTCACTGATACAAATACAAGTTTTATTTTCGGGTTAGGGTCTATAGTCATTATATTTAGCTTAACGTAAGAACAATAGAAGTCGCCATTAGTGCAGTAATTGTGTGCGTGTCTGTGTTGACAGGGTGCGACACCAGACAGCCCTTCTTCCCCTCTGCCCTGGTTCATCCAGCACATGCTGTTCTGAGTTGCATAACACATTTACACACAAACATTCAAACTCTGTCAGTCTCTTACCGTGTTGTAGACCGAATACGCTGCCAGCACATGGAACAGTGCTTGCTGTCTGTAAAGGACAAATAACACGGGTCAAAAAAAACAACAGTTCCCAATATATTGCATGATGGCTATAATTAGGATTTCAAACATCTAGTTTCAGTGTAAGTAACAAGGTCAATGACATGATGCTAATATTTCTGTGACTGGATCTAGTAATTTATTGAGAAATACATTAAAATCCACTTGAATCTTGAATGAGACTCTTCTATAAAAAGTTTGATTAAATTTATAAATGACATTGTTTTATATGTTTTGTAAGCGCATAATGCCAAAAATGTCAGATGGTATAATCATTGTAATACCATGGAAGCCTGTTTCCGCCAATGATTTAAAAAAAAAACAACAATTGTGACTTTTTAATCTCACAATTCAGACTTTTTTCTTGCAATTGTATCTTTATATCTCACAATTTTCACAGTTGTAGGTTTATATCTTACATTTCTGAGTTTATATTATTCTCAAGAATTGAGAAAAAAAAAAGAATAATTGTGAGAAAAAAAAGTTGCAATTACCCTTTTTTTCATTTCTATGGCAGAAACCAGCCTCCATAACAGAAAAAAAAAAAATCTTAAAAAAGACTAAATTCCTGGAAAAAAGTAATTTTCCAACTTTTAGATTTCATAAGAAATAGTGAAATAAATTATTAATATTTTTAAAAACTGATCTGCGAAAACAAAGTGTGGTATAACTGTGAGGCAAGGTGAGTCTCATAAAAAGGGTCAGATTAATTTGATATTTTCATGAGATGGCAAGGTATAACCCTAAGAAAACTTCACGGTATTCATGGTCATCATCATTTATGCCAACAGATAATTTTTTTAAAATACTTTTTTATGAGTCATTAAATAAATATATTTTGGGTAAAAAAGCTGTCGTTTTCTATTAAAATATGTTTTTCAAAAATATATGAACCCAACAAGAATTCAACGATTAAAATTTGTCCTTTTTTCCCCATAATGGATCCATCTTTGTCATTAACCCAACTAAATTTTGTCCAAAAAGCACTGAGGGTCCAGCCCAAATCGAACAGCAGAAAGAAACCAGCTCACAGTAGCAGCAAGAGTCCATTCATGCATAAGCCATCACATCAGGAGATGCGCGTTAATAATTCATAACGTCTGCAGATTTGAGAAGATTTAGCAATGCACAGCAAGACCCTTCATAAGAGGCCAGAGGAAAGCAGAATTGTGACTAGCGTGTTGTAGAAACATATTTAGGAGCAACGCAAACAAACAACAGATGTGTTAAACAGCACATCCGCCAGATACCCCATGCAGAGAGGCTGGTGCTTGATCTATGTCTGTTGTGGGTGTGCCGCCCATACAAACCACATGGCTGAAACCTCTTCATGCACTTTGGTCTACAAGCCTCTTTCAATTTGTTAAGTAAGTGGGATGACACTATTAAATGTCAAATTTACTGAAAGGTTATTGAGGGCCATCTGGTCAATATTTTGTTTTAAAAAATCATGCTGCACTCATTTTCTGTCAAATTGGCAGTTTAAAAATGGAAAAAATAACCTAAATGTTTTTGACGTCTGTCCATTTTTAAGAGGATATACAATCCCAAGTGGGTCTTTATGATTGTCCTGTACAAAAGGAAATCATTTTTTTTTCATGACACTGTGGCAGATCTTTAGTTGTTATGGACAACATCGAAGTAGATATTTATTCTGGGCATAATGGTAACGAGTCACCGGTTGTGTCATTTCCTGTGAGGCTGCTCACAGTATCAGGAAGTTGAACAAAAACTCAGTCACAAAGAGGAAGTAGCTCTTGTTTTGGTTAAGTTTACAAGGTCTGAGCACTTCATTTCGGAAACATCTCAACTCGAAACTCTTTATATTCATTTGACTCAAAGTCTGCTTGCCAAACAGACCTTGAGTCAAATGAAGATAAAGAAAGGCTTTCTTGTGCATGTGTATGTATGAATTTGTGAAATATCTTACTTGACCCCAAAGCGTTCCATGAACATGATATGGTTTCTGAAGGTCCTGTTGACATCCAGATCAATCTGCTTAATTTCTGTCGAATACTTATTGGCTTGTTCCTTCATTTTCTGCAACAACATTAAAACAAAAAAGGTTGCCAATGAACAAATTAGAATTTTAATGCAAAATTTTAGCATTAGCCGCACCAAACAGAATTGTAAAAATAACAAAATTTCCCAAACACTCCTCTATCTGCCATTGGTCAGACAAACAGGTAGCCCAACCCCAAACTCTTGACACTGCTCAAACAAGTGGAGTAAATATAGCAATATACTCAAAGTAGGGATGCACCGAATGTTCGGCAACCGAAATTATTCGGCCGAAAATAGCAAAAAAAAACTAATTCGGTATCTGGCCGAATAAGTGAAAAGACAGAATAATTTGTACTAAACAATGACGTGACGCGATCAAATAGAGGCGCGCACTAATGCAGCAAACATGTCGGCAGTGTGGAAGCATTTAAAACTGTCCGAGAAAGACTGACAGCGAGAGACTGTTAAGTACTGCATCGCATGTCTTCGATGAGAAGAGGAAGGGGTGGTTGTTGCTGGTTACTGTATGATGATTGAAACCGCAAAATGGCCTTAATTAGTGAATAAACTGCAGAATGTTGTTTTCTAATACACGCATGGATTGCATGTATTAAAGGGGTCCTATTATGCTCTTTTACAAAGTCTTGATTTTGTTTTGGGGGTGTACTAGAATATGCTCTCATGCTTGGTGGTTCGAAAAACGCATTATTTTTCACATAATTTACATTATTAAAATAACTTTCTCCCCATCCTTGCACAAACGGCTTGATTAGTTCCGGCTTTGATGAAGGTCCGCCTTCCGAAAAACAAAATGCGTTGTGTTTGGTTCGCTGTCCCAGTGTGTTGTGATTGGCGAACAGCTTAGACAGTGTTTCAGTACTGCC